CGGCAGCCCCGTTATTCCTCGTGGAATGAGGTTTACCGGGGCTGCCGACAAAGGGCTTTGATGTCGACAGGGGGAACGTCCAGACTAGCGGCGAGCTGACAAACAGCTGATCAGCTGTTTGTCGGCTCAACGCGGCAGCCATGTAAATGTAAATGAAGCTGCGATCATTTAAATCGCGGCTTCATTTAGCTTTGCTGAACAAACAAATCTACATGCCTCTGCCGACAGAGGCATGTAGTTTAGACGTACCCTTTGAGTGTTAAAGCCGCTCTCATCTGTCAGTTGTGGGGCTCAGGGATAGTGGTGTTTGCCTATCCTTCACTCCTACCACACAGGAGACTGGGAAAAGGGGTGGACTGCAGGAGATGTTGGGGCTCAGAGTTTGCTCCATTCTCCATCCTGCCTGGGAAGCTGAAGAAGTGGCCAAGGGTCCATGTTGCTGGGTCTCCAATGCAGGATGTCTCCATCATGTTCTCAGTGCCCCTGGGCGGTGGGAAGAGTGAAGCTGGCCTCTGCTCCATCACAGCACCTGGGGAATAATCACAGCACAGAATTCACCTTCCTATCACCTCAGGATCACACCAAAACGTGGCCTCAGCCCCTCCCCGCTTCCACCTTTTCTGACAGGGTCGGAATTCTCCTCTCACGCCGGGATAGCAGGGTCCGCAGCAGAGCTGGAAACCATCGGTGGAGCCACAAAGAGGCAAAGTGCCAGACTGATCTGACACGAGCAATGAATTCCTCTCTTCCCCAAGGAAAGGGGTTAAGGGATCTGCCACTGCTGCGGTTGAACTCCTTGGACAAACCCTTCATTATATCTGCGGGGAGGGCGTGGGCTCAGCTGGTGGCGCCATCGTCCAAGCAAGGGGACAGGAGGTCTCTCCAGGGCGGAGGGAATGGGATGCCAATGGGCTATGGATCAGGCCCGAGATGAGGAGGAGCACTGAATGTTGTGCAGTTGCTCAGTTGGAGGGAGGGCAGGGAGTGTGTCTGGGCTCCATCCTTACCATCTGCGTGTAGTCCTGTTGTTTCATGGCCTTGTAGCCGTACACCAGAGCGGTGACGGCCGTGCACAGCTCCAGCAGGCAAAGCAGGATGAACATCGAGTTAAGTCCGTGGCTCAGAATCTGGGGGGAAGCAAGCCCAGGGGAGTTCATCCGGCAACCCTCCTGCATGGGGGTGCCTCTTGCTGGGGGGAGGCCTGAGCCCCAGCTGGGAGGTGTCATTACTGCACAGCGAGGGGGTGAGGATTTCCTGAACTCTGCTACATGCCCTGACACGGGGCAGGGCCTGGCGTTAAGGCCCAGCCATCCAGTGGCCAGACATACTATGGGTATAGCCCTGTGTGGCACTGTCTAAGACTCAAGATGGCTGCCAGGGGCAGTGGGTGTCCCAGGGCAGACAAAGAGAACCCTTCTCCTCCCTGTCTTGTTTCAGAGTCTAGCAGGGACCCCTCTTTCTTCTCTAGCTTGTCTCCTGCCCCCAGTTCTCACTCGACCATGAAGCTGAGATGCTAATAGCTTTGGCAGGAGCCAGGGCCAGGGCACACCCAGTGGCCCATCTCACGAGTTTGAGGGAGGAGGATTTGGCAACAGGGTAGAGGGCAGGGATGCCATAGCAGGGGGTGCCGTGTTGGATCAGGGCAGGCTGAAGAAACTCCTACTATGGGTCCCCTCCAAAGCCATGTATTTAAGCAAAGCCTCTGTGCTGTTCCCCCCACAACAGCCCTTGTAATGGCTGCAACACCAGGGCCTGAGCTGGGAGTCTCTGGCATGTGGGATACTGAAAATGGTGTTAACATTACAGGTGCTTACTTTATATTGTAGGGGATGAGTCATCATCTATGCTAGTCCCCCAGTTCTGTTCCCTGAGGACCCCCAGCTCTAAATTGTTAAATCTTTAAAGATCTAGCTCAGTGTTTCTTAAACAATAATTTTTTTTTATGAGGAACACCAAGGATTTTTTGTTGACCAAAAAAAAAAAAAAAAGTCGCCTGCTCCTTTAAGGTCGGCCATTTTGAATTCTGTTGTTCTCCACGGCACACTTCCGACTGCCTCACGGCACACCAGTGTGCCACAGAACACACTTTAAGAAACAGTGGTCTAGCTAAAGAGCTGGGTCTCAAGCAGCTCCTGTGTACCAGGTGCTGAGGGGGCCCATAACACCCACACACTGAGCCTCCCACAAGGCCATACAGCTTCTGAGTGATCCAACCTCCATTCCTGAGATAACACTGCTGTTGTGGAACCACTCAGTTAACAAAACAGCCCATCTCTTAACCTTTTAGTGCCTCTCTAGCTGTATTGCTTACCCCAAGCCAGCAAAAATCAGGAGTCAGGCCTCAAAAAAGTTGCAATATTGTTGTAAAAAATCACAATGTTGTTAAAAAAAAACACAACAAATGTAGGGTGTATTTTATTTGTCTCCCAGTTCCTTGCAAACAGGAAGGGCAGAGGAACCTTAACTTTTTTTTTATGGCAGGTGAAAATCGGCCCTAATCAATGGGGGCTGTAAGAAGAACACCAAGTATTGTGCCACTCAACTAAAACGTCAAGAGACAGCAGCATGGTTTGTCTCTGAGCCTCTCAATAGGGCTTCAAAACCATTATGATGGCTAGCTCCCAAAGGAAGACACAACTAGCCCCATTTCCTAGATGGGGAAACTGAGGCACAGAGGTGGTTGGAAAGCAAGTCAGTGTCAGACCTGAGATCTCCTGACCCACCCTGGTCCAGTGAATAACTACTACAGCTTCCCACCTCTCCTGCTTGATTGAAACCCTGCTCAGTCCTCATTCCTCACCAGGTGGACAGATGGATTCAATGCTCTTTGCTGAGTTTCCTCATAGACCTCCCGACGGGGGAGCAAAGGGGCAAAAGCCATGGAGCCTAGTGATTCAAAGGGGCCCCTAGTGCTTCCAGGAGCCCCAGGCCCTTTAAATCACCACAGAGCCCCGTGCAGCAGTCTCTAGGTTGGGCTGAGGCTGCCTGAGGGAAGCTAATCGCAGCCCTGCCCCTTCTGGAGGTGCAGAGCCAGGCCTACCCCCCTCCTTGCCCGGGGGATTTGTTGGCTCCGCTGTTTCCCTAGGTTACATGGCAGGTCTTGAGAAGGATTCCTAGTGCTCTAGATCCAGTCAGCTCCCTGCAAAGTGGCTGTGGATTGCTGCAGGAGTGGGGGGCGTGGCAGAGGTACCCACGTAGGCAGATTTGGAGCACCTCATCACGGTCCCGTCGTCGTTCTTGAACGTGTCGCACCATGGAATGGCTTGGCCGATCTCCACGCCGTGGATGATCACGGCCATCAGGGTGGCCACGATGACTATGCTGCTGATAATGCAGCAGACTTTCACCTGGATCAATCATAGCCAATCAGAGGAGAGCAGGGCACAAATCTAATCATTACAGATGCACCAAGATCAGCACCCCACGGTGATGGCAGCCCTACGCACACCCCAGGAGACTGTCCCTGCCCCAAAGATCTTAGGGTATGTCTAGGCTACATGGTCATGTAGACTAGGGGTGTGTCTAGACTACTGAATTTTGTCGACAAAAGTAGACTTTTGTCGACAAACTATACCAGCGTCTACACTACCGCTGAGTTCTGTCGACAGAAGGTGTTATTACCTGTAGGGTTGCGTCTAGACTACAGGGTTCTGTCGACAAAGCAGCTTGCTTTGTCGACAGAACTCAATGTGTCTGGACGCTCTTTGTCGACAGAAATTTTGTCGACAGATACTGTCGACAAAACTTCTGTCGACAAAACCCGGTAGTCTAGATGTACCCTCAGTTTCTCAGCTAGAGGTTAGCAACTAGTTGCTAATCCCTGCTTCATTAAAATAAACATGGCCGCTGCGCTGTGCCGACAATCAGCTGATCCGGCACAGTGCCGTAGTCTAAACGTGGATCAGTCGGCTGGGGAAGCCTTTGCCGACCGATCCCTTATGTCTCGTGAAACAAGGCTTACAGGATCTGTCGGGAAAGGCTTCCCCAGCCAACTGATCCACGTCTACACTGCCGCGCTGTGCCGGATCAGCTGATCGTCAGCACAGAGTGGTGGCCATGTTTATTTTAATGAAGTGGGGATTTCTTTGCCTATGCCGGGTAAACTAGTTTACACAGCTCCGTCGATGGAGCCATGTAGTCTAGACATACCCTTGACTGTCCAAACAGACCAGGCAGAGAGGGTGAGAGAACTATTATTACACTCTCCCCCTACTTTCCAGGTGTGGGCCTGGAGCACAGAAATGGTAGGTGAGGTCAAATCTGTGACAAAACTGGGAAAAGAAGCCGGCTCTCCAGAGCCCCAGGCCACAGTCTTAATCACAAAGCCCATCCCCACGGCAAATGCATTGGGGTGAATCTCTGAGCATCCTGCTGTTGTGCAGAGGCAGGCGGTCCGTTTGTGTCCACGTCCTCTCACACAACACGTCACAGTTGGGAGGACACATGACTCTGCCACATCTATGGGGTGGGACAGCTGGGGCTGAGCGGCCCATGTGGGGGAGCTCTGGGGTCTGGAAGGAACATCCTGTGCTGGTCCTACGGAGTCTGAGTGCATTGACTTGGAGGCCGCAGCATGTCTGTTCTAGCAGGGACAGTGAGGCTTGGGGCTGAGGCTGTACGGTTATGCAGCTGTGGGATTAGATTCAGAGGGCCCCATTTTGTGAGGCTCAGAGCCTCATGAACTCCCAGGGAAGTCCCAAGTCTTCGTTCCATTGGATGCAGGAACAGAGAGGGTGGCCAGTGGGTTTAAAGCCACTCTTGCACTTCCTGGCACTTTGCGTAAGGGTCCATCTTCACAGCAGCTGAGGAGCGTGGCTCCCCGCTCGGGCAGATCTTGACAGGGATCTCGGACAGCACTGGACTCGGAGCCATAACTTGTGCTGCCACCAGCATGCCAGATCGAGCAGACCCAGTGCATGTTCCTCTACCTGGCAGGCTCCAGGCTACCAAAATGTGTCCAGGCTACATGGGGCCTCCTGGGAGCGGAGGCTAGCTGGAGTGCAGCCACTCGCCAGACCCACGCCCATGAACAAAAACGTTTGGAGGATATTTACCAGCCACATGCCTTCTCTTCTCTGAGCCTCCACCAGCACGGACCCCGAGGACACAAGCTGCCGAGGGAACAGCAACAGGGGAAGACTCATTGGCAAGTTTCCATCCCACCTCAAATCACATGCACATTGAGAACTATGTGGAACAAGTCCCACAGGATTATGGGCCATGGAAGCTCTGTCCCCATAACACAAAGATCCTCATTAGGACTGAGGTATGAGATCCAAATTCAGGCTCTCAAGTCCCAGTTCGTGGGACCCCCTCTCCTCTGATCCCACTGCAGAGGGGCCCTGAAGAGTTCTCTGAAGCTGAAGGCCCATAATCAGGTCCCACAGTACGTGTTTCAGTATAGCAGGGTCGCTCTGAAATTCTCCAAAAGGGATTTGCTTTCCTTCTGTGTCACCACCTGGATCCATCTCCTCCATGCCAGATGGACAGGAGCCTAACATTTGTATGTGCAGCTGTCTCTGAGCCTCAGACCCACAGAAAAAAAATCACATCAGGCTCTTGATCTAGAAATGAGGGCCAATTTAGTCCCCGGGGGTGGCTGTATCAGTTTTAGAAGTGCCTTATGGGGCACACTTACTGCGAGGGAGGCAAAGATCCTTCATCTCTCAGGCTGGGGTGTATACACTGTGGAGCCTGTTTGAATGTAGGGGTGAAAGTTTTTGCAAGGTCACTGCTATCTTCTCTTCCTTGGGCTCAGTGCTAACCCCCCTATCCCTCCATTATTCTGAAAGCCTGCCTGGCTATGCTCAAAGCCTTCAGCACTGGAGTCCAGGGAATATCCCAAAGCAGATCTGCAGAGACACCCCCAGCTGCCCCTGACACTGGGTCAGAGGGCCAAGCTTTCAGTCCTGCAGCTGGCTGTGCCTACCAGGAAGCCGATCCAGAAGTAGACTCCGCTGGCTACAGTAAGGGCTGGGGTTGAGGATTGTATTATCACCAAGGCAATCCCAAAGGAGATGTGCGTGAATCCGGACATGATCTGTATGGACTAAAAGGGAAGAGGAGATGGGGCTCGGTTCCACCGATACACAGTGCATGTGGTAGCACTGCCATGATTTATGGCATTGCTGTTATCACCATAGCTACTGCCACTGACATAATTACCTCCATCACCCTTCCATCACCTTGTCAATGTCATCACCCTCACCAACCCCATCACCCCGCCAACATCAACACCACCATCGCCCTCGCCACTCTGCCAGCATCCTCACCACCCCGCTGACATCAACACCACCATCGCCCTCGCCACTCTGCCAGCATCCTCACCACCCCGCTGACATCAACACCACCATCGCCCTCGCCACTCTGCCAGCATCCTCACCACCCCGCTGACATCAACACCACCATCGCCCTCGCCACTCTGCCAGCATCCTCACCACCCCGCCGACATCAACACCACCAACCCTGTCACCCCACCAACATCATCACTGCCATTACCCTCACCAACCCCATCACCCCGCCAACATCAACACTACCATCACCCCACAAACCTTGTGACCGTTATCACCCCTACTGACTCTGTCAACCTGCCAACATCACCCCCATCGCCTCCACCAGCGTTGCTAATGTCATCACTGCCACCAATCACATACCCATTGAACATCATTACCGCCATCAACCTTGCTAACCTCATCATCCTGCAACTGTCGTCACCCCCACTAATATCACCCTCACCTGCCAACATTGCCCCTGCCCTCACCCTTACCACCAATGCTAACTATCGTCTTTTCCATCTCCAACACCCTCACTGCTGCTGTTATCGTTATTTCCCCTTTTCACCACCCCTCCGCCTCAGGAACAAGTTGCAGCTCCCCATCACATTGCCACTTTGGGCCTCTGTTCCCATAGGAACAAGTCTCCTGAGAACCCCTGGTGTGCTTAGCCACAGACCCTAAACTTATCAATAGAATGAAATCAGTTAGGGGAAATCAGGTTTGAAGCACCAAAAACCACCTTTGGAGCTTTCCCCTTTCTCTTCCATTGCCTGGCTGGCCAGCACTTGTCTGGACACATGGGGAGATGTTTATGCCTCTGGGTGCCAGGGTTAAATTGGGAAATCCTGCAGCTGTCACACCTTAGGGTGTGTGCTTGCCAGTGTGGAGGCAGGGAAAAGGGAATAAAGGAATTTGTGTGCAGCTATCTTGGTTGTGTTAGCAAGAGAGCAAGAGTAAGGCTAAGTTTGTGGCCTGACAACGGGAGAGCTGTAATAAGATGCTGCCTTCGCCTCTCGCCTCCATACGGAGATAAGGATAGAATGCTGACTCTGGCAGGGACCTTGAGATAAGGAGCATCTGGGTGGAATTAAAATAACTGTTAACCATTGGTGTTTGTAATGGGAAGGAGTCAATGGCTACGTCTACACTGGCACCCTTTTCCGGAAATGCTTAAAACGGAACAGTTTTCCGTTATAAGTATTTCCGGAAAAAGCATGTCTACATTGGGGCTACGTCTACACTGGCACCCTTTTCCGGAAATATTTAAAACAGAACAGTTTTCCGTTATAAGTATTTCTGGAAAAAGAGCGTCTACATTGGCAGGATGCTTTTCTGGAAAAGCCCTTTTTCCGGAAAAGCGTCCATGGCCAATGTAGACGCGCTTTTCCGGAAAAAAGCCCCGATCGTCATTTTCGCGATCGGGGCTTTTTTGCGGAAAAGACTACTGTGCTGTCTACACTGGCCCTTTTCCAGAACAGTTTTTCCAGAAAAGGACTTTTGCCCGAACAGGAGCAGCATAGTTTTTCGGAAAAACACTGACAATTTTACAGTAGATCGTCATTGCTTTTCCGGAAAAGCAAGCGGCCAGTGTAGACAGCTGGCAAGTTATTCCGGAAAAGCGGCTTATAAACTGCTTCATAATTGCTTGTATTCGACGATCTGCCTAGCAGCGGCTTCTTCCCTTGCAATATTGCTTGAATAAACTGTTTCTGACTACTCATTGCTCACAAACGCAGAGTGAAGGCTTGTTTTCTTCCATAATAGTCTCACCAGCTAAATGGGGCTCAGCTGGGTTGATAACGCTATGGGAGGCTGGGGATGCAATAGGGGAACTCTTCATTTGGGCTTCACCTCAGACCTGCTCCCTAGGAGAAGTGGCAAAGGTGAAATTAGGCCCATGTGCCCCAGAGTGCCTCACTGGTAGGAAAGGGGTCTGTCCTGGAGGGCTCAGCTTTAGTTGGAAGTGTGTGCTCCCGCTAGCTCCCGGTGGGGCTCCCAGCCTGTGCCTATGGTATGGTAGTCCTACAAGGAGGGCTAAGGAAGTGACAGGGGGTGTCCACATGCCACAGCTGTTGCCTTCATGCAGCGCCCTCACACCGACAACTCCCTTTGACTGGGAACAGGAACAGCACAAGGCAGGGACTAGGTAACTGACCACGACTGGGACTGCCCCAACTTTGAGCCCACCTACTAGAACTGCCCAAAGCCCCCCCCCATTCACACACACACACACACACTCGTGCCCTAAGCCCCTCACACCCGCCAAAGGGGGGGCGGTGTTGCAACCCAACAGCACCTGTAAGAAATGTAAGAGATGTTCATCCCTGGTGAGGCTTTTACCTTTTGGAGCAGAGATAAAAGGGAGGTTGCTCTGGCCTTTCAGGATGCCAATGCGGGAATAGGTCAGGCATCCTGGCCCATGCAATTACCTGCTGCCTTCCCCAGATTTTCCCCGCACCTGGAAATAGCTGCTTCACAGTTGCTGGCACCACTCCAGAGGTGGCTGCATTTTGGCAGCTGGAGGAGCCGCAGCGTGGGATCTTCAGGGAGGCAAGGGTGACCAACTAGTGGGTCTGACGCTTACCGTTCAAGCTAGTGCTAATTGGGCCATTTCAGCAGCCAGGCAAGGACTGAAAGTGCAGGGCGTGGATGCCACCTCTCGCCACCCTCCACCCAAGGAAGAGTTAATTGTTGCTTCTCTAGGCCTAACCCACAGCACCCTTGCAAGTGAAGGGCAGGAGAGTCCATTAGTCTCCCAGTGACCCTGGGCAAAGGCCCATCTGCCTTCCTCGCTCTCTGTCCTTCCCCCTTCGTCCGGTACAAACATCAGACTCTCACCCCCAGTGCCTTGGGCTGTGCCTTCCGGAAGCCTTTGACCTGGGCTGAGGTGGGCTGTGGTACCACTGAGGCCAGCTGAGCAGCCCGGGAGTCGGTCTGTGAGACAACCTCTGTGACCAGCTTCACCCCCTGGGATTCTGTCACCGTGGTGGCCATTTTGGTGCCAGCTGTGGAGAGAAGAGGCAAGTTGGGGTCAGCAGCAGGACAAGACGGGGCCGAGGGAATGACAGCTCCCTGCAGTGGACATCAAGTAGAGGGGAGCCCTCTGCCTCCTGCCAGTGGAAAGGGGCAGCTGATTCCTTCCCAGAGGATCCTGGGGGAGAGATCCCAGGAGGGAGCTCATAGGGGCTGTGGCTGCATCCTGTGGGGACAGCAGGTCAGATCTTATCCCAGGCACCTGGAAGTAATCAGGCTACAGGCTTTGGGGTACGGGAAGGAGGTCATGGAGCGCAGGCTAATAACCCCTCTCTGGGTAGACCGCGGTGATGACTGGCAGACTGGCAATACGAGAACATCCCTAGGACCCAGGGCAGGCGTGGGCAGCTCACACTAGAGCCTGCCACATCTTCAGGGCAATTTGCTCTACGCTAGTTGGATCAAAGCAAGCGTGGATATGCCACAGACCTGTGACAGCAGCATGGATCCATTCCCTGCCAAACACTGTTTACTTCCCATCATGCCCCCTGCCTTGGCAAAGGGAGAAAAAATTCCCGGGTCCTCCCCTGATCAGCATAAAGGGGTGGGCAGGGTTTGAGAGAGGCCAAAACAGGGAACTAGGACCCCACCCTGCCATTCGCTGGGAGAAAGCAGAGTCTGGGGAACACACCAGAGAGATGGGGGGAAGAGTGTGAGAAATGAAACAGGGGGAGAGAGAGAAACTGAAGGGGCGGGGAGGGGAAGCCACAGTAGAAAAGCAACAGGACGGGAGAAGAAAACAAAAAGGAAAGACGAAATGTGAGGAGCAGAGACAAAGTATTTAGGAGACCAGATCGCACGGCTCTGCTAGCCATGGGGACCCCGGAGCAGAGCTCCCTAGGGGAGGGAGGGATACAGCGAGTGGTGAGAAGGAGGAGGAGGACAGATCAGAGAGATGCAATATGACCGCAGGAGCTGGAGCAGGGAAGGAGAAGCACAGAGGGAAAAAAGGCGGCTGGAGGGAGAAATGAAATGATCAACTCAGGAGGGAAGTCGACAAAGACACTTTCAGGACACTTGATGGATTCAAAAAGGCTACAATGCAAGTGTCAATCTAACAATTCCTCCCCCTCCCTTCCCCCCCGCGGTTTCCTTGGGAATGTCCCTCTACCCACAGCTCCACCGCAACCTAATAATTCCCCCCAAGCTGCTTGGAGATCTCTCTCTGTCCCCTGCCACCAACCTAACAATCACCCCCCAGTTGCTTGGGGATCTCCCATTCCCCAGGGGCTCCCTAGTGCAGTGAGCATCGGGGGCTGACCTGCTGCCTTCACTTACTCTGCCTTGTGCTGTGGCTGCTGTGTTGTGTCTCAGGGTTCGCTCTGCCTTGGTAGCTTTCGAGAGGTCTGCTGCCTTCACTTACTCTGCCTTGTGCTGTGGCTGCTGTGTTGTGTCTCAGGGTTCGCTCTGCCTTGGTAGCTTTCGAGAGGTTGTGGGCCAGTGTCCAGGGGTGGGCGGGAGTGCAGGGAGCCTGACAGGGGAACTCAGTGCTGTTCTGGCAGCTCGGCGCTGACAGGAAGTGTGTCTGTGGACATGTGTGAGGGCTCCTTTTCCCCCAAATCTGCCTTTCTGGCCTGGTTCCCAGAGGGGGAGGATCAGCAGACCTTGGTGCCTGTAAGAGAGAAAACAATATGTTCCGGAGCTGGAGATTGCACATGCAGGGCGAAAACAACAATGTGAATAACCGTTTCTCCATGAATTTGTGGTGCCCCCACAGCATAGCCCTGGGCACTTGAAGGCCCCTCTGTATCCCCAGTTTATCCACTGTATGTAGCATGGCCCTGTGACCCAGGGAGCCTTAGATGTCCTCTGGCAGAGGGCCTAGGGGGACCTCACGGTTTATAAGGGATCCTCTAAGATGGCTGTCTGCATACAGTTCATTGAAGGGTCAGCTCACTGAAGGCTATTGAGAGCCAGTGTCCTATTGGTTGTGACCATCGTTGTGAAGTGGGTAATATTTAAGTAAACACGTATTATCTAATACCTAAAATAATAAAAACTATTTTTCTTAAAGTCTTGAATCAAGGCTGGTCACCGGACAGTGACTACCTCAGATATGTTCCTTTCAGGCAAGAAGTAATAGACACTTCTCTCTTTGTCAGGCCGTTTGTGTATTGTGTGCGTCTTTCTGGACGTCTATTTGCACCAAGAAACACATTGAGGGATTTCAAAATCTACCAGAAAGAAAGTCTCCAGGGAGAAACAAGAAGCAGAGGTGGCTGTGTGCTCTTGACAAATAAAGATAAAGGATTGTCCTGGTAGAACAGTTTGTCAGCTTATGCAATGGGGACTAGAAATCATTTGTCTTTGCCAAGAAAGGAAATATGAATAACTTTCACATCCTTCTTCAGACGCCTGACGAGCATTTCATTCCCTAAAAGGAGTGCTCGACACAAATGGGCGAGCTTTCACAACAGAGTGCAGAGGAAGATTTCACCTGAGCTTGCTGTGAACAAGCAGAGCACGGTGGCTTTGGTACCCATGATAGGAGACTGGGATTTGAAAGGATCTCATAGGTGTGATTTTCAGCAAAGAGCTTTCAGAAAAAAACAAAACAAAACAAAAAGCGGCCAGTGTCTGAGCTGATGGACCAGGCAAATCTATCCAGCACAGCAGCCTGAGCTAGTGAAAATTAACTGCCAAAAACTTTATTATTGTGGAGTTAAGATTGCCCAGTGGTGCTTCATGGCCTTCCAGATCATGGAGAGAGATTAAACTTAAACCTCTAAAGACTAAGAAATGAAGTTACAGTACCTGATACCCTCATATCACAACCTTTATTCTTCCCCCCTGGAACTGACAATAGTCACTAGACATGGCACAGGAAGGGTGTGTCACTCTGCCTCCAGGGGCCCCAGTGGAGAATACCAAATTCAGGGCAAACTATTGAGAAATAGGACAGATACACACAGAAATGAGTGGTTAGTCTCTCATAAGATATACCAAACCAGCAACAAAAGTAAAATTCTATTTCACCACAGTGGCTAACAAGAAGTCAGAAAAGCAGTTTCCTTAGACATTCCCATCCTTGTTCACCATAAAAAATACTAGATTTAATAATAAATGGTTATTTAAAACAATTTCTTCAAGCAAAAGGGTTCTTCTCAACCCAAAGGACCCGCCAAACACCAAGGTCAATATATAGCTCAGATCTTACACAATAATCATGCTGTTGCCAATCCTTTATTATCTAATACCTAAAAGGGAGAAAGAGGGGGAGGAAGAAGAAAAGAAAGAAAAAGAAAAGAAAGAGAAAAAAAGAAGAAAAGAAGAAGAAAAAATAAAATAAGAAAAAAGTAAAAAGAAAAACAGAAAAAGGAAAAAGAATATACCTATTGGATATGCATGTGTGTTTGTGTGTGAGTCTCCCCTCCCCCAAATGTAAGGGGTCCAATTAAATTATGGACCCAAAAATAAATAACAAAGGGTATGTCTACACTAGAGCACTAATTTGAACTAACTTAGTTCGAATTAGTTAATTCGAACTAAGCTAATTCGAATTAGCGCATCTAGACTTAAAAACTAGTTTGAATTAGCGTTTTGCTAATTCGAACTAGCATGTCCACACTGAGTGGACCCTGAACCGAGGTTAAGGATGGCCGGAAGCAGTGCCGGCAGGGCATCAGGTTAGGACTTAGAGCGTGGAGATGCTGTCTCAGGCTAGCCGAGGGCTGTGCTTAAAGGGATCCGACCCCCACCCCGGACAGACAGTTCTCAGGGGTTTCCCGCTTGCAAAGCAGTCCTGGCTTGGAGTGCCCTGAGTGCCCACACTCGGCACATCACAGCACTCGGCCATCAGCCCGGTTGCACTTGCCGCAGGCTGCCATCCGGGGAGGGGGGTCAATCAAGGGGCTTCAGAAGAGCTTCCACCCCGAGGAGCCCGCAGAGCCAGCCCAGTCCTCCCCATCGGGGGCTCGTACCCCATTCCTCCCTCACCTCCTTCCACTTACCCCTCCCTAGCCCCCCTTCCTGATGTACAATATAAAGGACACGTCTGTTCAAAAATAGAAACTCTCTTTATTGAACAAAACTGAGGGAGACTGGGAAAAGGAGGTGGGAGAGGGGAAGAGAGAGGGTGGGAGAGGGGAGGGCAACTAAAATGATCAGGGGTTTGGAACA